ATATTTGTCATATAAGAAACACTATTTCTATCATTTTATAATTCTTTAGACAAGTCTATATAATCAATCTTAGTGGATTTTTTTTTCCTTTTGTTTGATTAGGCATACTGGCCCGAATTGACTAAATCTAATTTTATAAGAATGGCCATGCTGCTAAAAGAAATGGTAAGTCCTACTCGTGGAGATGAATGAGAGAGCAGTTTACATAAGAAGAAGGTCGGTTCAGAACATATATAAACAACTAGCGACTGCTTTAGTATCTTATATGTTGTTTACATATTAATTTTTGGAGAAAAAAACATCATTGGCAAAAAAACATACTGTATTAAAAAAAAAACACAAATTTTATATCTTATGGCATTCGAAAACGTTTGACCGGGCTTGAATGGACATACCACCAAATAAATGATAATTCTTATCTTTAGTAGGTTTGTTACTTTATTTCGTCCACAATTTTTGTTCCTTTCCATAAAGGCTAAAATATATTGTAATAGACTTTAGTCTCTTGAATCAAAATTTTAGGTAGCTGTGTTATGGGTCGAGCAACCCCAAAGCCCATTTAGTTTCATGTTATTTTTGAATGTCGCTCCAGAAAAACCAAATAGACTACTACATCAAATTATCATGATTCATACGTCGTAGATCAAAGAAATGACTTGTTCCACAAATTCTCAACTCTTACATAAACGCGTTTTTGCATCCTTAATCACATTCTCACATGTAAGGTCGCTTACATGTTCTTTTTATAATATCAACAAAACAAATCTCCATATTAATGTGTGTACATATATGTACGACTATGTGAAATAATATATGTGGACATGAGAACGTGGGAGTGCAGAGTGCACGTGGAGAAGACATATCTTGCTTAGTGTTCATGCGACCATGGAACAAGTAAACTTCGCGCTTTGGGAATATTTGCTCTCAAGTTATCAAATTCATTTCATCCTTCTAAATTTATGTCTTACTTTTTCATTCCTTTTTACATAGCTTCATATAAAATCCAATAATTTTTTTTTTACCATTTAAATCTTCTTAGATCTCGCTAGCGATAATAATTTGTTTATATATAACTGATTTTATGAAAATTTCATAATTTTAATGCATAAAACATTTCAAAATGACCCACTATTGCGGGGTTAGAAAAAAACATTACAGGTCATGTTAAAATTCCAAATATAAACCATACATATGTTTGTAAAAATTTCTTTTCAAAAACCTAAAATTTTGTTAAAAATATGACGGATCATAAAAGAAAGATAATATCGCACTGATCATGTAGTACATGCACTCTGACCTATTTAGTTAATATTCAATAAAATCTCTTTTTTTTACTAAAAATAGGGAAATCTTACGATATAACCTCCAAAAAGAGACTAATTAACAATATAGCCTGACAACAAATCAATTGAACGGATGAACTGTCAAAATACAAAAATGCCCTTATCCTTGTGTATAACAACAACTAAGCGTGTGTCAGTTTCGATGTGATATTTTCTGTCATATATATACTTAATTAAATTAGAAAGAGAATTACACGGTTACAAAAAATGGTCATACATCTTTTTTATCATTAATTTCTGTCACTCATTTGCATATGTTATTTCTGAATACGGTATACCATAAAAAATCATTTAGATGATTCATGGTAATATATAACATACCATAATTTGGAATGACATTACCATTGGAATATGTCAATTTTCATACCATAATTTTTTATTAATTTTTTCTAAATTAGTGTATAATTTAAAATAATTGAATATTTCTACTTATATGTTATGAATCTTATAACTAAGTTTAAACTAATGTTTTAAATCTCATAACTATAACAGAGATATTTAAGTGAGCTTATATTGCTTTATATTGTTCACTCGCACATACTTTTTCAGATCAACATACTATATTCAACATACGTTTATATATATATATATATAAACGTATAATTT